CCATATAAGGGTACCTTGGTTTAGCGACGTTATTAACCGGAATTATTTTAAATTATAAAGTTCGTAATGTATACTACAGCCTATGACAAAAATGTTTATATGCAGGTCCACTTCTTCGTATAGCCCCCATATAACGGGACTTCCCGATATTTGGTACTATGGCAAAAAATTTCGTATGCTGGTCCATGTCTTCGTCTTCAAGTTAATTCGAAATTGTGGAGGGTATTAAAAGTTCGGCCCGGCCGATGTTATTTGCTTTTTTTACTTGTTGGTATTAAAAATGGGACAGATATGTCCACGCCTTAACTTTAATATAACGGCGCAGTCAGATTTATGTTTTTGTACTTCCCTATAACCGATATTTTGATTATTTTAGCTACTTTGATAAGTTTGAAGTTTGTATTTGGTGTTGATAGTAGGTACTATGCGTCATATGGTAGGTACTATGTGTCATATGGTACGTCATATAACTTACCTCCCATATTCGGTGTTTTAATAATTTTTAGAAATGTGGGTTCCACCTCCTAACTATAAAGCAGAAAAAAGCGATAACAATTCTTACTTTCTTAATTATTAAAGGCCGAACTTAACTTTTGTGACGTTGTATTTTTATAAATTTGATTTATAATCAAATTTTGAGTGTTTTGATACAAAAAGAGGGACTTCCTGCAACACCAACTCTCAGTCGGACCGGACGGCTGTAGTTGGTCAGTAATAGATATATGGCAACATACTGCTATTTCAGAGTGAAGCCCAATATCCAACCTCCCAACTTTGGGACATTTTGTAATAAGAACATAGCTTTTGATGTGATTGAGAATTATTAGTAGTTAGTAATGACATTAATTTCACTTTAAATTATGTATTTATTTTTTAAGAAATGTACTTTAAATTATTTTGCCCCACTGTATTTACGTCAAGTGAATATCTATTTTCGCTGATATAATATCAGCAGATACCGACATATATACATATGTACATACGTACATATGTACGATGTATCTTTTGCATTTCATTTTCATTTAGATTGTTGGTGTTGTTTTTTTTTTAATTTTTGCTTCAATTTCATTTTTCGCTACAACACCACATCATCCCAAACATCAAAGGGTTTGAGTCTGGGTTAGGAGAACACAACGAAAGTAACAACTACAATTCAAGTGTATCATTGTGTGTGCAATGTAAGCAGCAGCAACAACGAAAACAACAAAGCGAAAACATGTCATGTCAAAGGGTAGGACAGGAAGGCGAGCAGCAAAAGTAATACAAATACCAATGCACCAACACCACACGCACACACACACACAGTCTTATTCAAACGCATCTCCCTCCAACTGTACAAGTTCAACAAATACAAAAAGAAATTTGCAATTTGTGAGAGAACGAAGTGAGAATCTGAGAGCTTGGTAAATATTTGTGTGAATGAATGCAAATTTGTGTGTGGAGAGTACTCATTTGCGGAGAGCTTGAGTTATTGTAATCATGTTCTCGTGAAAACAAGAGTGTTTTGTAATTTTATTACACACACGCACACTTGCTCATGATTGCCATGCATAGACGAGAGAAAGAGATTGACTGACTGACTGAGCTTAAGAATGAAAGAAAAAGTTTTTGATTTTCTGGTTCGGGGTCGGTAGTTTGTTGCTATCAAAATACAAGGGCCCTGCGAATGCTGCTGCTGCTGCTGTTACTGTCAACGTTGCGGTTGCCGTCCACGTCCAACGTTGTTGCCATTGTCCATTTGATTGCTCCTCACACACAACCCCTTGTGCGTTTATTTTGATTTTATTTTTATTTCTTTCTTTTTTAGAACTTCCCACCTTAGCCCACACGCTTGGATGGATGGTAGGGAAGGAATTGCAAAAAATATAAACAAAATAAAATGAAAACAAATTAAACGTTTTCTTTATATGGGTCTTTCCGAAAAACGGGGAAATTGTATTGTAAAGATTCTAAGTTATGAACACCTAATTACAAATTTGCTTATAGAAAATCCCTACTCATATTTCGGGAGTGGAGTCATTCTGAAAGAGCTGATCAGCACAAAATGAAAAACACTACCACGGGTAGGAGCATGCTTTCAAAGCACTTAAAAGTTTAAGGTTGTTGATAAGCCGTAAGGCGGTGGTTTGAGTGTGTAGAACATCACAAAAGGACCAACTTAGTGGTAAATTCGGAAATATGAAATTAAAAATTGAAGTCTGAAATTAAAGTAAATAGTATCGAAATCCTTAACAGAATGCATGAAAATGGTCTAAGCGTCCTTTAAAAACCATCCTTGAAAGAATGCGTGGATGTTCCTGTAATATAAGCGATATTTTCTGAAGGGATCGGTTCTCCACTTTCCTAAAAAATGTTATTATACCCTCCACCATACGTTGTTTGGAGTGTATATTAAGTTCCTCATTCCATTTGTACCAATAATAATTGTAAACCCAACAATGTATATATATTCTTGATCAACGTGAAATTCTAAGACGATTTAGCCCTGTCCGTCGGAAGCTAAAATTTTGAAAAAATCTGTCCTATGTCTGCAGACTGGTCAAGATGGGCTATATCGGTCCACGTTATCTTATAGCCCACATATAATGGTACAACGCCCCCCATATATTCGGTATTTTGATGATTTTATCCACATTTTTGAATGGAATTGTCTGAAATTCTACACAAGTAGTTCTTTGTGGGTACTTTACCCCCGGAAAGAGAATTGTCTATACAGGGTGAGATGAAAAAACTGCAACCAACTTCAGACTGCTGTCATCTCTAAGCCACTCGTCCGACAGCTGTTAATATTTTTCCAGTGTCAACTCATCCGACGTCAAGGAAATGGGCAGAAGAAAATAGCAATATCAGCAGAAATGGTTCGAAAAGTAAAGAAGCGACTTGATCGAAAAATGGCCGAAATCTCCAGATATCAATCCTTTGGACTATTGTGTCTGGAGTATACTGGAAAGCAAGGTTAGCATTAAAAAATACCAAAATTTCGATCACCTCTAGCAAGCGCTTCGCCGGGAATGGGCCAAAATACCGCAGAGCAACATTCGGGCGTGTGACGCTTTCGTTGCCCGTTTGAAGGCCATAATTCGTACCAAAGGTGACCGACATTGTTTGCTTTCATTCAATAAAATAAAAAAATGTAAAAATTATGGCGTTAGACCTTGTTGTAGTTTTTTTTTATCTCACCCTGGATATCTCTCATAACTAGCGAAACCATATCAAACTTGGTATTTATAAATATTTTTCTCTACCAGAGATGTGAATTTAAAATTTATCAGCTCTGGTACCTCTCCAACAAGAGGTAAATATACCATTATTCCCATAAAATTGTTCTTTAAAAATACTTATAATAATTTCTCGAATACTCCCACCAATTGGAGCGAATTTGGCAATTTAGAAAAAAAATGCTTTAAAAATTCTGTTAAATTTTAAAAAATACCGAACGCAGCCGTAACATTAGGGTCTATACGACACCGTGGACCTGCATAGGCAACTTTTGTCATAAGTCATTAAAATATTCAAATGCAAAACCTGAAAAACATCGGTGAAAAATGTAGCTAAAAATCATCAAAATACTGAATATAGGGAGGTACCATTGTATGGGAGCTATACCAAAACGTGGACCTGCACAGACAATTTTTTATCTTCGGCTGTAGTATCTATTACGAACTTCAAATACCAAATTTGAAACAATTCCGGTGAATAATGTCGCTAAAATCATCAAAATACCGAATATAGGGAGGTACCGTTATATGGGAGCTATACCAAAACATGGGCCTGCAAAGACAGTTTGGTGTCATAGACTGTAGTTCCCATTACGAACTCTAAATACGATATTTGAAACAACAGCGGTGAATAATGTCGCTAAAACTCATCAAAATACCGAATATCCGGAGGTTCCGTTATATGGGGGCTATACGAAGGTGTAGACCTGCACGAACAATTTCCTGTCTTAGGCCGTAGTATCCATTACGAACTTCAAATTCAAAATTTGAAACCATTCCGGCGAATAATGTCGCTAAAATCATTAAAACACCGAATATCGGGAGGTGCGGCATGAGCTTGTGGTACCCATTACGAACTACAAATCCAAAATTTTAAACAATTCCGGTGAATTATGTCGGCTTTACCAAAACGTGGACCTACATGGCCAATTTTCAATACCAAAAGTCCTGAAGACATAATATACATTTGAGTAAAATTTTATCAATCTACTTCAATTCGTTCGGAAGCTCTAGTGATTTCCACAGACGGACGGACATCGCTAAATCGACATTGAATTTTATCTGATGGGGAATGTATACTTTGTTTGGTCTAAAAAGTATATTTCGAGGTGTTACAAACGGAATGGCAAACTTAATATAACCTCCATACTGAGGTGGTGGGTATAAATATCAAAATCGTTGCCCTGAGAGTCAAAACAAATGTTAGAACATCCTCCCGGATCATAGACTAGATGGTCCTTTAGAGAATCTCTTAAAAAAGCCCGGACTGTAGCTTTAGTGTTGATTTAAAAAGATATTATTGTAAAAGTCCATCGCTTGAGTCTTAAAATCTGGATTGAAAACAATTATTTTAATATGCACGATTGCCGCTTTGGACCATTATAATAACATTAACAATCTGAAAAGTGTTAAGTTCGGCCGGGTCGAACTTTTAATTAGTTTACTTTAATATAAAATTTTCAAAAATGCTGTTGAAAATATGGCTAAAATAATCAAAATTTTAAATATTTGGAGGTACCGCTTTATGGGCGATATAAGAAATAATGGAACTTTCACAGCAGTCCTCTGCCGTTAAATACAGATTCCACTTCAAACTCTACATACATAATTAAAAACAAAAATCTCCTCAATAATGTGGCTATAAATTACCAGAATTCCGAATATCTGGAAGTACTGTAATATGGTGGCTATGGGTGCTTCAAAATGGTTGAATAGCTTAAAAATGTTTTTATTTTAAACTACATGATTTTAGCCTTAATTGAAAAAAAATCACACTATTTTAGGTCTGTTGATTTTTTATTTATTCTAAAAGTTTTCCATATTTTTTATTTTCCATTCAGTATGGAATGTCCCATATTGGAAAATATGGCAAAATCCATACTCACTATTTTTGTATTCCCTGTTTGTGGTAGAATCTCACCAGTAACGATAGCAGCAGCAGCAGCAACAACAACGTAAATGTTAACAACAGTTGTCGCTGCTTCAAACAACAGAATGAACAGCAACAGCAAACGGCGGCAGCGCAGCTGTTGTCATAATGAAATCAACGTAGCAAAAATAAAAATTGAACAACAAAAAAATAACAACAGGGAATGATGATGAATTCTAGAGACAGTAGCAATTGTTGGATGACGGGGACGTCTACGATTCTAAACGGCGACGACGGTTACGACGAAAAGCAACGTCGCTGTCGCCGTTGGCGTTGCCATTGAAAACCGAAGGTAGAGAAGCAAACTAAACTTTCCATATGGACTGCTTCGGATGGCTGTGGCATTGAGAATTGAAACCTTTGTGCGATCGTACAAAACGGATATAGAGCAGCGCACTAAAAACACCAGAATTGCAAGCGTAGTAACAAAAAAAATAAAAAAAAAAACAGAAACAAGGCAAAGCAACAAACATTCAAACAACATATAGCAGTGGTAGTAATTGCCAAAAGAAACAAAAGTGAAACAGAAAATAAAGCGGAAGAAAAAAACATGACAAAAAATAAAATTGCCAAAATAAGGAGAAAAAAATAATTTCGAAAAAAGTGAAAATATTTACAAGAATACAAATTTATAAAATCTAATAACAAAACAAACAATAATAACACACAAATTTTGTTCCAAAACCCTACCTTCCAAGAAAAATGGCAACAAATTGCGTCGTAATCTAAATTTCGAAAGAAAACTTTTGCCCAACCACTGAAATCGATAGTGAATACCTAGTTGTTGTTCGTTTCTTACTCTGCTTGTAAGTATGTATGTGTGTATATATGTATTTCTACAAACTAATAATAATAATAATTCCACATCCGGAGGTCCGTCCCTTTTCCTTCATCTCAAAAAAAGAAACCAAAAAACATTTGTGGTGAAATTCTTTCTAATTTTATATGTAAATTTGCAACAATTCAATTAGAAAAAAGACGAAGAAAAAAAATGTAGCAACAAATTAGAAAAATTGTGAAAACCTAAAACAGTTTTTCATTGATGACATCGCTGCAACAATGTTGCCACCTATTTGTGAACACGAAAAAGGAACACAACAGCCAACCAACCAACCAATCACAGAAATATTTTGCAAATGCAAATCAAGCTTAATTTGTTCTCTACTGTTCTCGAGGGAAAAACTATACGCCAAGTTCTGCTAGTGTTACAGTGTTGGTTATTTGCATAGAGACACTAATGTAAAGGAAAATTTAAAAAAAAGTGGGCGGAGCCAAGTGCTTGCAAAATACCTTAGCTGCGAATAAAACTAATACCGCCGGGTGAAAAAATGTGCAACAATTTGCCGACGGTATATCTAGCAACGAAAAAAAGTGAAAATAGTACAATTTTGAAAAATAGATTTTCAGTGAAAATAATTAAAATGGAATAGTGAAGAATATATTCCCAATAAAGTCCAGGCATTGTGGGTCCTCGAAAAAATCAAAACAAAAAAGTCTTGAGTCCTTAATTAATTAAAAAAAAAAAAAAATAATAAAAATCCATGGTTACGGTGGTTCCAAATTTAACTTCAAAAATGCACAATGAATGACTTATGGTCCCAGCAAATAATCTCTGTTAACCCTTTCTTTCGAGGGATGTGGCTTGAGATTTTTTCCGAGATTTTTAAATTTTAATTAATTTTTTTATTGTTGCAAAATGGTCAGGCTTAATCCCTTTATTGTTGTTTTTATAAAAACAACATTTGTTTATTAGTGGAGAACGATGGTAATGTTTAGCAGGGGGTAAGACAGGGAATACCTAGGTCTCGGAAAGAGCCACCAATCCTCATCAGTTTCCTTGTTTTTTTTTCTGGGATATTCTTCCCAGAAGTTATTTTAAAAATAACTTCTGTGACAAAAAAACTTTTTTTACCCAAGTAACCATCGTTCAATAAAAGGATTAAGCCTGACCATTTTGCAACAACAAAATACTACGGTATCCCGAACAAACAAACCAACACTGTTCTACTAATTTTTTTTAGAAATTTACCAATTTCTCTAAATTATTTTTAGAAATTAAACTGATTTAGAAAAACTTTCCGATTTCAAGAACCACATCCATACAACTTCTGTACCAAAATCGGAATTAGAATCGGGGGTTTTAGCAAAGATTCGTACCGAATTCGGAATAATATGTTAGCTTGGAATGACTGACGGACGGAGGATCAACGCCCACATGAAATTGCTGAAGCTTGAATCTTGAAATTTTGGAAATTCGTACAAAATGGTACAATGGATAAAAATGTAATATCTTGTATTGGACAAACGAAATGAGCTAGAATTCTGAAACTTGGAATTAGAGTCACTGATGGAGTGTAGGATAGAAGTACCAAAGGTTTTTTTTTGGAAATTCGAACCTTGAGGTTACAAAAAGTTCTAAAGTGGCACTAAACTTCTAAAATGATTTCATCTGGTATTATGTGAACGAATAGAGCTAAAAACTTGAGAATCAAGGTTGGAAAGTAGGTTTGATATGAGAAGGTGGTTTTGGAAGTGTGTGCTAAGTGTGAGAACACTACTAAATGGTACCAAATTTGGAACAGTTTGTCTTAGGGAGAACGGATGAAGTTAGAATTTGGAAATTTATTCTGTTGGTGGTAGGTTTGTGATAAAGAGCTGGTTTTGGAAATGTATACTTCAAGTGTACGAAGTTTCAAATAGTACTAAGTTTGGTACAATTTGGTATTTGGGTGAACATACAGTGTTTGAAATCTGAAATTTGCTAATAGGGTTACTGTTCATATGTGGGCTGGACAAATGGAGGTGGTTTCGGAAATGTGTACAATGATTGTACGAAAAGTACTGAATGGTAGTTACTATATTTGGTATTGGGTGAAGGTAAAGAGAGAAAAATCTGAAATTTGACATTTAGATTACTGATGCGATTTGTGTTTTCTAGGATTTCCAAACCTTGTACAAAATATAGTACCATTCAGTACTTTTCATTCTCTATTTGTTCGAAAAGTACTTAATGGTAATCAATTTGGTATTAAGTGAAGGAAATGTTCTTAATGGTACTAAATTTGGTAATAAGTGAAGGGAGAGGGCTGAAAACCTCAAATTTGATATTGTGGTCAGTGTTGGTACTTGGGATTGAGATATGGAGGTGGTTTTGGAAATATGAACTATAATTGTACGAAATATACTTAAAATTACTAAAATTGGTATTAAGTGAATATCAATATCAAATTTGATATATAGGCATATGGAATTGAGAAATGGAGACGGTTTTGGAAATGTGCACTATAATTGTACGAAAGGTACTAAGTGATAATAAAATTGGTATTGGGCGAAGAAATAGAATAGCTGCAATCAGGAAATTCGACATAGATGTAACTATTGGCTTCTGTGGTTAAAATATGGAGTTGGTTTCGGAAATGTGTATTTTAATTGTACGAATCGTACTATCTTTGGTAATGGGTAAAGAAATAGAGATAATATTTTGAAATTTCATATTTAGATTACTGATGGTATCTGTGTTTAAATTTCTAAACCCAGAACAAAATTTAATACTATTGAGTACTTTTCACCCCCCTTTTAATACGAAAAATACTAAATGTCTATTAAGTGAAGGGATAGGGCTGAAAACCACATGAAATTGAGAAATGGAGACGGTTTTGGAAATGTGTACTGTAGTTGTACGAAAAGTAGTGAATAGGACTAAATTTGGTATTGGGTGAAGGAATATGGCTTAAATTCTGAAATTTGATAAAGATGTCACTGCTTGTATCTGAGGTTGATATATTGATGTTGTTTTGAAAATGTGTACTATAATTGTACGAAAAAAAAATAAATGCTACTAGATTTGGTATTTGGTAAAGGGATAGAGCTGAATGTCTGCAATTTGACATTGAGGTCATTTTGGGTTTCTAGGGTTTACATATGGAGACGGTGAAATAGTAGACGGTGAAAAGTTTTTTTAGGGCTCAAAAATCAAACATGTTCGCTTTTTTGGCAACAATTTCTGATGTATGATGAAAATAGAAAATACTTTTCTTCAGCGACCTATAGTAAAATTTGGTGAAGAATATTTTTGTGTTTGACGTCATTCTTTTTAAATGATGCTATATATGAGTATTTTGCATAACTTCATACTGATTTAACTCTTAAATGTGTGTGTGTTTTAATATATGTGAACTCCTCGCGTTTAGGTAAGATTAAGACATTTAATGTCTTCCGGACCCATAGCAGAATTTTATTACAGATTTTATTACAGACGTTTATTGCTTTGAAGGTCCTTGAAAATTTTTTCTTTTAAAAATTCCCGATTAGATCCTTAAGAGTACTTCAAAATATTTTTTTAAAATCCAAAGATTATTGATAGTCCTTGAAAAAAAACCTTTAAAAAAACACAATTATCGGAGGCCCTGAAAAAACACATTTTAAAAAATCAACGATTATAGCTTCGGAGGTCCCCGAAGGAACAAGTATTTTAAAAACCTACGGTTATTGTCTTGATTGTCTTGAAAACATATTCTTTACAAAGTCTACTATTAGAGCTTTAAATGTTCTTCAAAAGATTATTTAAAAAAAATCAACGATTGGTGCCTTGATATTCCTGGAAAAAACATCCTTTAAAAAATCTACGATTATTGCCGTAATATTCCTTGAAAAAATATTTTTTAAAAAATCCACGATTATTGCCGTGATATTCCCTGAAAAAATATTTTTGAAAAATCCACGATTATAGCTTCGAGGTCCTTTACAAATTTTTATTTTAAAAGTCAACTATTATAGCCTTAAATGTCGTTCAAAATATCCTTTTAAAAATCCAAGATTATAATCCTAAATGTCATTCAACATATTTTTTAAAATTCAACGATTATAGCCTTCATAGTTCTGGTATACATTTTCTTGAAAAAATCCACAATTAGAACTTCCGAGGTCCTCGATAAAATAATAATTTAAAAATCTACGATTATTGCATTGATAGTGCTTGCAAAACCATTCTTTAAAAAAAATCCACTATTAGAGCCTCAAATGTCCTTCAAAATAAATTTTTAAAAATCCACGATTATTGCATATATATTAAAAATTCACGTTTAGTGAATTAAAGTATAAAATATACTTTATAAAATCCAAGATTATAGCCTTAAATTCCATTATAAATATTAATTTATAAATTCGCGATTGGAGCCTTAAATGTCCTTAAAATTATTCTTTTCAAAAAGCACGATTATAGCTTCGGAGGACCTTGAAAAAATATTCTTTAAAAATACACGATTATAACTTCGGAGGTCCATGAAGACATTTTCTTTAAAAATCCACGACTATAAATTCCGAGGTCCATTTAAAAATTTTCTTCAAAATTCCACGATTATAACTTCGGAAGTCCACGAAGAAATTTTCTTTAAAAAATCCACGATTATAGCATCAAAGGTCTTTGAAAAATATTCTTTTAAAAATTCACGATTCAAATTTTTTTAAAAAAGCCTGCGATTATAACTTCGGCCGTCCATGAAAGTTTTTTTAAAACAAAATGTTCTTTAAAAAATACACTATATTCATTTCGGAGGTTCTTGAAAAAATATTCCTTAAAACCCACTATCTTCACTTCGGAGTCCCAAGAAGACATTTTCTTCAAACATCCACGATCATAAATTCCGAGGTCCATTAAGAAATTTTCTTCGAAATTCCATGATTAGAATCCATGAAGAAATTTTCTTTAAAAAATCCACGATGATAGCTTCAAAGGTCCTTGAAAAAACATTCTTTTAAAAATTCAAGATTTAAATTTTCTTTCAAAAAATCCACTATGATAGCTTCAAAGG